TTTTTTTTTTTTTTGGCGATTATATTTTCATGTAGAAGACAACAGAAATGAAATAACTGCACTATGCAGTGGTAGTTTTCATTCTTACAAGAAAACAAAACAACTTTGTTTAAAAATTGGCAGTTTAAGTAGAAAAAAAAAAAGAGAAAAGTAATTAATTTGGAGCATTTAAGCCATTGGAATACAGAATTATTACAACAATTTATACAGTATGTATAATTACAGTAAATTCATACAGTATCTTCAATTGGTTTATGCTCCAATAAGTTTTATGCAAATAAATTTATAGATGTAAATTTTTTCTTCAAAAAACAACAATTTTTTTTTTCTTCTTTTGTTTTGAAAAAAAAAACCGTAATCTTTTATTTGGATATTTATTTTTTACAGGCTTTGAAAGATTGTATAATTATGTTGCAATTTTATGGTTTTTTAACAATATTCTCTGTCAGCTGATGAAGTTTAATTACATTTTATTTTTCTATTCTTACAGTGAACCACGTGTGGACAGCAGTAGCAGCTGGATCGGTGGTTCAGCAGTTTGGAGTCTGTTACCTGAAGCTGCAAAACCTGATAGTCTGATGCCAGAAGGATTGATACTACCTGATCGTCCAGTAGCGCTATCGATGAGTGACGCTGCAGCTACAGCAGCTGCTGTTGCATCATATGGTTATCCTTAAAATCTCATCTTTTTTTTTTTTTCTTTTGCTGCAACTTACTGTCTAGTTTTATGTTAACAATTTATAAACTGTAGTTTTAAGAAACAAATTAAGGTTAAAAATCATTTTGAAAATTGGCTTTTTTATTTGTATAACTTTATATAGTGATCCTCGGTTAAAAAGTAATGCTTTTGACTTAGTGATAAATATTTATTTCCTGTTCACTTTATTGCTAAACTAAGTGTTATTAAACTATACTCAAGAACAAAAGTGTTTTTCTAACTTAAAAATAAACAGCGTTTTCTTTAATTGTAAAAATAAGAGGTAATTCAGTTAGGTATCAGAGGTAAATTTGTCAGTTTTTTAGGTTATTAAATATCTAATCAAAAAGTAATTTTCTAGTTTAGTGAATACGTGTAATATTAAAGATAGCAAAGCTGTTATTTCTAGGGTCATTTCTATAGATGAAAGAAGAAAAAAGAGGGATTTTTATTTCTTTTTATTTTTATTTTTTTCTTTGCTGGTAAATTATTATCTCTGTTTGACGTTTAAAATGTGTGCAATTGGTCTAACGTTACTGAAAAGTGTGCATCCCGATCGGTGAAACTGTTTACAGATAGCCGTATGATCGGTACACCGTCCTATTACAGTGGTGCGTATCCGGCTGCAGCCGGTTACAGCATGTATGGTAGTAGTGCACAGAGCTATTATCCTATGTCGTCAACATTACGGAGCGCTGCTACACCATTCCAATTTGCTACTACTCCGCAAACCTATTATGGTATTCTCATCTGTTTTTCAAAATTAAAAAAATTTTTAGATAAATTTTACTGCAACTGAACGAATAGTTGTCGCTTTTATTTTTGAAAATTTACGGTAGCATTGATAAAGTTTTGGCTATTTTATATGATTTGTTTGCCCAAACTCTGTTTCTAGACTGCTTATCGTCATCTTTGATCACTTCTTTTGCTTTTAAAGGTAACGGATTTTCAACAGCTGGTTTTGACTACTCACCATATCCAACTGCAGTCCAATGTTATGGCAGTCGAAGTAATTATTATACGAATGGAGTTAATCCAGTAACCTCTACATCATCATTATATGTCTGTTTTTGATCATTTTTTCTTCTTTTTTTTTCTTTTCTTCCTTCCTTCCCTTCTTCTAAAGAAATGACTATTGTGCACTTTTTAAACAAAATTATGCACTTAAAAATTGATTGCGATATATAATTTTTCTGTTTTTTTTTTTTTGTTCAGGGAGTAAGCGCTCTACCAACTGAACCTGGTTCATCTAATCAACTATCACCGTTTTCTAAAAGTGATGTTAAAAAAACAGGTCTCTCTCTCAATATATCCGTGCAATAACACAAGATATGATTTAATGATGTTAATATCAAGACAGGAAACAAAAAGCAACATTTGTGCTTATAAGCAGAATACTAAAAAATGTTTATAATTAAATTTTATCCTTCTCACCAGTAAAGATATCATTTACAGCTGATTTCGCATTATTTTAGGCAAAGGTACAAAGAAGAAAAAGTTAAGTAATGGAAGTGGCGATATTGACGGCCACTATAAACGAGTATTTATCTGGGAAGTGGATGATCTTTGCGCTTTATCGTTCTGTTATTTTTTGAATGCAGATCCGATTCGAAATCAGCATCGACTGTCGCTTCAGCACTATATGAATGCAAATGTCGAAAGAATTATTTCTGCCGTTTTTCGAGTCGATCAGAATGATGTCAGTTTTTTTCATTTTTTTTTTCTCTAAAGAACTTCCTGACAGACTTAGTTTTATGGTCACTATTAAAACTGTTAACTGTTCCGCTGATGCATCATTGTGACACTTATTTTTATTTCATTAAGGAATTTGACCAAATGAATATCGAAGATGCCAGTGTTGAGGATAGTTTGAACGAAGTTTCTTATCTTCAATCAGTACCAGAAACTTCGGATGGTGGTGCAACAACAACGCCAAATACACTAATACCATTACCAATTGGACGGGGAGGCGTAGATTGGATGAGAAAATTGGCTGCGAAGTATCAAAATATAAGAGAAACCTATAATTCATACAAAAATGATTTACCTGGTATATTTTTGTTCTTTAAAATAAGTATAACAATTTTAATTAATTTTCTTCTTCACAGTTGTAATTTGAAATTTGCAATGAAAAATAGTGGAAATAGTTATAGAATAAAACAACTAAAACGATTTAGGTATTTTGCGACGAAGTAATATTTCCGCTGAAGAATTCACAACACTCCGATCAACTAGCTGTGACCTGCAAACACAACGGTGGATAAGCAGTATTACGCAGTGTTTGAAACTAATAAGTGAAAGGTTTCTTTAGCATCACTTATAAGTGCTACAAAAGAGAAATTGTTTCCAGAGTTTTTGAAAAAGTTGAATCAGTTGTTGGTGTCTGACGGATGCAGAAATCTGCATGTTTAATTTTGCTGAGACAATGAACTTATATCGACCATTGGGGCAAAACACAAACATTGTTAAATTTGGTGAAAGAAAGCCCTTCACCTGTTTATTTTTTAACTTTAAAATACCGGCAGCGCAAAATTTCGTCTTTTGTCGGTCTGCTAGATAGTCCGTTTGACCTGTTAGCTCATCGATTTTTGCCCTCAACTTCCGTTTACTACTTTAAGAAGTAAAGTATGAAGATAGCTCTTCTTATCAAGATAAGCCTCGATAAAACTTCTATATGACCGGTACTCTAAATATAGCTGTGAAGTTTCAGTTTTTTGGTTCTGAATTCAGTGCACCGTCATAATACACAATTTTTACTTGATTTCATTTGAAGCTGCGATACTGTGTACTGCAACTGAACAATTCAAAATTCCTGAAGACTTGTCTTGTACGTGAGCGACCCAGGAACTGAAGTAAATTAAAAAGAAGTTTACGGTGCGAAACCTCAGCTTTTCTCTTCAATACGTCGGAGATGAGTAGTTGAATGGATTCTGAAAGTCGCTATAACGGCTTATAAACGCTTTTTGAGTTTTACACTTTAATCATCCCAAGAATGGTGGACGTTTACGCTTCTTCATTTTCTAAACTTCCTCGAAGATGCGCTAATGTGCTGGCTGATGTCGGACCGCAACTTTTACCACATTTCATATGCCGCCGTCTCGCAGTTAAATCTCAGCGGCTCCACTTCAGCTGTTGGCTGTCGGTAAAACAAAAGGGATGATCCATCCTCACTGACAAACTTTCCGCATCGATATTCGTATACGTAGCTTGATAAAGTTTGGTAAAAACTTGCGGTTAATATTTGCCGTTAGTGCAGTAATTGCTCACTTTTTCATCGGAAAACAGAAAATATTTCTTTTTTTAAAGAAAACATTTTGAAGCAAGCTTAATAGGGAGACAAAACAAAATCCCGATGAAAGAAAACCTTTGTTTTCAAGCACTGCATGTCAATCTCAGACAAACAATTTCTCAACAGCGGCACTCCTGTCTACAAGACGGTTGAACAAAAAATGATTCTGACCAACAGTAACATCTGAGTAAATAACTAGAATCAAATTTTTACAGGTCTGCAAACGGGCAATATGCGAACATTGTTCTCACAAACGAAACTGTGGTCTCGACGTTGGCAAAACTGTTGCTATTTGAGCAGAGTTGCACAATTCCAGCTGAAAACGTTTACAGCTACTGCAAAGCCGGAAAAGAAGCGGCTATTGATCGTATCGTTAGCCGATTCGGCAAGAAATGCTCCTACGTTATGATCTCGTCACAACATGACACACAGGAAATTGCTAAAAAGGTAAATTAGTTGCTTCTGTTCTGTCCAGGAAGGACAATTCTGACTTAAACTTTCCTTTTTTCCGCAAAGGATAATTTTGTAGAAAAAAGAAGCAAGATTCCCTTATGAATTATAAAACGAGCAGAAAAGATTGAAAAACAGTAACAGCAAAGTTGCTCTTATTTTTTCGCCCAACTTCTGCGATTAACCTACGTTTTTTACCAAACCGTTGCCTTAAAATTTTTCCTTTACAAGTGCAGCTACTACCGCTACTGCAACAAATTACAATCAAACAACAGAGCAAACCCATAGATGAAACAATTTCTTTTTTCAAAGCTTGAGAAGTCTCTCAAAATCCACAAAATGGTTCCTTTTGATGATGTTATAAAAATTTAATTCGTCTACACCCTAATTTCTCGAATTTAATAAAGCACTTTTTCTCATAATAGAAACTGTAAAAAACCCATTTTCTCTTCTGAATAATTAAACCTTCACACCAGCATAAAATTCATCTTATTCATCAACACCTTTTCAGGAAAATATCCCCTGCTGGCCATTAAAAAATACTGATAATTTAAGTGTTCTACACTTCGCGCTCAAAGTCTACCTGACAGACGGCTGACCTACAAACAGTTCTACCCAACCCGTTCGTGGCACCAGCCAAAACTGCAGGTCACCACCATATAGCACGTAAAACTCGCGGCTCCTTCTGATACGCCTATTAAACTTCAAGCATCGGTTGACAAATACGCATCACCCCTACCATTCTTGCCCAAAAAATCATCTAATTGTTGCACTCGCTTTGCCAGTGAAAAGCCTACTTGTTAAAAGTTTTAATTGCCGTCCACTGGACCATTTTGATGGGACTTACGACCACTACTCGGCCCAAAACTAAATGTGCACTAAATATGTACAATGATTTACAACCCGAAGAGACCCCTAACATGCTTGCCAAATAAAGATTCTGTTGCCAAGTCCACAGTTTTGTAAACTTAAAGTTCTAATTCATTTTGTAAATAACATTGTAATGTAAAAACCTCTTTTGCATTGATTTTTATTTTGACAACCAAAATATGTAATAAACTTAAAGTCAAATCCCTTTCGTACTAACAACCCTTGGTGAAACCAACATGAGGAAATTACACTGGCTAAGCAGCTTTCTTAAAAATCAAAACAACTTCAAGGGAAAGCCATCAGCAAAATGGAGAAAGTTAAGATTAAGAACTCAAAACTCTTCGCAAGGTTAGCAAAAACTCATGGTTACCGGTTCAACAATGCCAAAAACTAACAAAGGCAAGAAGCAAAAATTATCGGGTAAAACAACTCCACTCTACGACAGTGAAGTAGTTACAAGCAGGAGAAAAGCAAGACCGAGATTAAAGAAACACCGCCGTCAGATAATGACTGAGTTCTTCCTTTTGTAGTGCCAGATGCATCTGGTTATACGAAAATATTCAGATATAACAAACACGTAGCTTTATCAGAAATAAATAATATTTCTAAGGTAATGGAAACTTCATTTTGTGATATTTGCTTCCAAAAATTTGCTCCAGCCAACCAAAGCATTTCAAAAAGCTTGGTTCTTCCCTTTAAAATACCAGATGCATTCGGTGATATGAACATATTCAGATATAACACATACATAGCTTTATAAAAAATGAATAAAACTCAATATTTCTAAGGTAATGAAAACTTTATCTTATAATATTTGCTTCCAAAAATCTGCTCCTGCAAACCAGTCACTTCAGAAAGCATAATGCATATAGCTGCAAAAATCTTCTGGCTCTCAGAAACCTAAAAATGTTAAAGTCTAACAAACAATTTCATGTTACTGAAAATCTCGCAGCCTTCAAAGTAAGAATTTTGAAAAACCATTTTTAAGTCTTGTTACGAGCAGCAAAATCGTAAAAGATGCTGAAAACCCATCATAAAAAAAGACAAAAGAAAGACTACTGTACATGGTAGTTGTTCATATCATTAGAAAAGCTCCGCCCAATAAAAGTTTCAAGGTCACTTAAGCTCGTCAAAGACCCAACCAGAAAGGTAACCATCAAATGGAGCAATTTTTTGCCTGAAACCACTTGATGAAAAGACAGGAAGATCAAACAGATGAAAAATTAACATGATGAAAGCTTAATTGCACATGACTTCTTTTAGATTCTCTTCAAAAACATGATAGGAACCAGCATCCTATAAAATTGCAACATGAAACACCTTGGAATAGAAAAATAAAACGACAGTGCTTCGCAAATTTTCTAAACTTTCTTTTTTCTCCCTGCTAAACTACCATATTAGACGTTTCTGACAAAACCGTTTTTTGGAAAATTTCAGGCCTTCAACAGACCAAAACTATACCCATAAGTATGACAAAAGGTATAAAGAGAAAAATCTGCTAATTGTTAATCATTTTCTCTAAAGCCGTAACGAAATTAAGCGAGAAGTAAAACAAAAACAATATTTCTTCACCAGTACAAAATTTCCCTATGCATATCCTGATTGCGGTGTTCGAAATCAATTCAGCAAAGAAATCCTGTTCTTTTAAGCAAGACCGTTCCTTCACCTACAACAAAATTTTAATAGGAAAACTTCAAAAGAAAAACCATTCAGTTTTCCAACATGCTTAAAGCTGTGTTATTACAAAAGCAAGTTCTTTGTGTTTTCCAACACAAAAAACTTGCTTTTTTAATAAGACAACTTTCTACAAAGCAGAGAAATCTGATCAAGAACAACGCACCTGAAACACCCAATTGGATTTTGCAATCAACGACAAATTCATGCAGCTGTCACTTCCGTCAAGAAACATACCTCTGTTGACTAAAATTTTAAAAAAAAAAGACGTCAAAACACCAGATAGTTTATTAAGGAATGCGCTATAAAAACTATTTTGTCACTTTCACGATTAGTTCCCATGCAATTTCCAGAGGAGTAGATTTCAGGTCTCAAACTATCTGCCAATTGTCTTTTATTTTTTGGTTCGTCGTGTTCGTTTCTAACCTGTAAAGTCATTAAGATACTTTTAAGTAATAATACAAAGCAGTTTTTTCATGCATAAAAACCTCAGGTAAATAGAGACGCTTTTACAAGACAATTATAAAACCCAATTATCTCCCGAAATTTATCATCATGAACAGGCGTGGGAAAACTTCAAACTTAAAAATGAAGACACTGGCGTTAATCACCTACTCTGAGCACAATAAATGAATGCTTTGTGATCAAATCAAAATTGGATGACAGTAGGAAATTTTTACATCCTTAAAAAATGCAAAACGACCCTCAAGCTCTGAAGCATATATTAACACAGGCAACAACAAACTCACTTCAATGTTACTTACTAACTACTTGCTTGTCAGTATCATGTCATATCCTTTGTCAAACTCTGCAGCCTTTTTGGTCAAATTTGTAACTTGACAAAGTTTTGTTGCCTCTGCTTCATTTGATGAAAAATTGTGAAGTTTTATAACTACCTTTAATCTGGTCAGAATATCTGACCTTCAATATATAAAATCTTTAATATATAAAAAGCCCAATAAACATAGTTAAAGTAACTTTGATTGGCCACCTAAAACTGCTCAACTTATTTCAAAGATCCGTAATACTGAGCAAATAAATAGCCTTTTCATTTCCCAAGCTCCAAATTAAAGAGCTTAAAACTCCAAAAAGAACTATGACAAAGCAAAAAACGGTTCTAAACCCCTCCTGAAATGTCTTCCCCAAACTTACTTCAGTTCCATTTTCCAGTAGAAACTTTACTTTAGACTGATCGTTCCCGGACGCATTATGCAACAAAGTTCTCTTTGAAAAAAAAAAAAGACAACTTAACTTGGCTTTACAGAAACTTCACATTCGTTTAAGCTTCAAAAATCTGTCTTCATTTGTGAAAAAAAAATTTTTTCCGAACGTAACATTTAATACACGAAAATACCACGCCTCTACTCTTTTCTCCTTTATTAGTTGTAGTCGACATTTTTTACCGTTTATTTCAAGTCTGAAGCTTGAAAAGAATTCCCCTCACAGTCTGCCAATGTCCACACTCCTCGCTTTATCAGTGAGCTCTCCGTTCCTCCCGCCCACTTTTTCGCTTTGTTAGTCTTCTTTGAACCAGCAAAGGAAAGTTTAAAAAGTCAATAATGCAAATACTGCTGAAGTTTAGCAAATCACCATTAAAAATTTTGTAATTCAAAAAAGTTTAGAAAGAAATTTTTGGAACCGCTACAATTACTAATTCTTAAAGTTGGCTTCCTGCAGAAAAGAATCTTCTTCCCCATACTTGGATCGGGTTGAAGGGTTTAGCCGAAAAAAAGCAACTGATAAATTGCCAAAACCTCAGCCCATCTACCGTGCTGAGTGAAATATGAAAAAAATTGAATTATATTTTTGACAAGGAATTTTCACGCTCGAATAAATTTTGAATGAGCACAAACTCAGTATGAATGAAAAATCAATCAATATTCAATATTTGCGCAAATCACCTGAAGCTCATTTCTGGGTTCTACTGATTCTGGCGCCAGCAACTTCATCTAAACTTAAAAAACAGTTAAGTACGCCGAATACAGTTTCCAGCCTTCTGCAGCTGTTATCAATAATTAGGGTTGTAAACCAAGAATTTACCAGTGATTGCTCATCACAAATATCACGAAACAGTGAAAGCTCGTTTTTCGAACACAATGTCCCAATTCCGCCGGGTACATTTTTAGAATCAGAGCTGATCTTAGTGGTCCTTGCTCTTCGAGTGCGACCGTCATTCTAATGAGACCCAATAAGATTCAAAATTAGTAAAAATACAAAAGAAAAATTGCACACCTTCATTGCCAAGCTAATTAAGAGAAAGGCAGAATCACGAATCAGCTCACTTGAACGTTTGGAACGTTCTCTGTCGCTCTATTGTTTGAATCCTTTAAACGATCCAGTAATTTACTTGAGAGTCTGCTAAAAAAAAATAAGGGAAATTACTCAAACTGACTTTTAACCCTCCTCCCCCCTCCAAAAAAAAGACAATTACATTAAGTAAATAGTCAATTCCTCTAATTTTAAATTAACTGAAAAAATACACTTATTCTCATGAAGTATTCCAACAAATCTCTCCCTAGAAAAAACATTACAAAATAAAAATTTTACAAATGAAAAAAATAGTGATCATCGCAAATTACTAAAATTTAGCATCAGAAGAACTCACTCAATATCTGAAAGGCAACTTGACAAGCAAGATTCCCGACTTTCATCTTGTGCAATTCCCTACAAACAGCCATTGTACCAAAACACTTCGCAGCAATCAAAAAATTCAATAAAAAATAAAACATAATGGCAAAAAATAACTCCTAAGTTCTTCAAAGACCCTCCGACTACTATTTTACAACTAAATGCTTGAAAAAAACCCTTACCGCAGTAGAAACCGACAAATCATTGCTTCGGTGTTGAATTTCAAAAGCAAGTAAGTTTCCTAAAAGAAAGAACCCGCAGGTAAATTCTTGTCAAAAACAGGTTCCTGAAGTAAGAGCCAAATAAAAAAGCTAAAAATCTAATACGGTGTTTCAGCGATGCTACTGCAGTAGCACCCTGTTCCACTCCTATCCCCCCCATGTTGGGCATTTAACAACTTCAAAAAAACCAATAGTTCTAAATAAATTATGTTATACACTTATTAATCACTTCTACCTTCACTCAACTTTTTGTTCTCTTCAGACACTTCCAACTTCACAGCCGCAGAGTCCTCCTCTCTTGCCATTCCCTTATTCTGCAAATGTCAGTGATTAAACATCAGGCAATAAAATACAGCAACCATAAAAGCCCCCTTTTATTCATACAGTCAAAAAAAATCTTTTTGAACCAAATTTACGAGAGTAACTTACGAAAACTAACATTTCTATAAACTGTAAAAAAATCTGGATTACAACACGGTTCTAAAAAAAATGTAAGTTAAAATTTAATACTGTCCACAATTCCATTAAAAAAGAACTCGACGATACCACTTAATATGGGTAGCTCATAACACAAAAATCCATACTTCAGAATCACTTATCCTAAGGTTTTCGAGCTCATCCAGAAATTCAGCATCGAAGAGCGACTCACTCACTGGCTCAGAATACGTCGGATTTATTATCTTAACAAAATAAAGATGTAGAAAATAATTTAGGATTTACGCCTTGAGTGCCACAGCACTTCACTGCCGCAAAATAATAAACTAAAAAACAGAATTTTCCGTCATGAAAACGTGATTTTGCAATGATAAAGCAACTGTTATCGCCGTTCACAACTTCTCTGTCCCCAAACAACGCAAACTCTTTAAAGTAACAAATATCCAAAAAGAAGAAAAAAATTTCAAGCTGAAATCCTTGGACACAATCAAGGTAAAGTGAGGATAAAATATCCCAGTGAATAATAAAAGAGGCTTAGTATTTGATTCCTCGAAAACTACAAAATATTAGGCAACCCCTTAAAAACGAACCAAGTTTGACGATTGACGCATTACAGAGAAAAGCCCCTTTATATTAACAAACCAATAATGTTTCATACTTTTTTCATAAGCTCACCTCAGCTCCAAACGATGAAGCGCCAGCGACACCAGATGACTTGAAGGCCCGACGAGATCTCAAAGCACCGTCTGACGCATCTTCAAAAACACTGTCCGAATCTTCTGCAGTTTCATATGCATCAGAGGAAATGTCCTCTTCATTTCTTTCAAACAAACCTTTCGTTCCATATACACTTAAATTTTTCGGATTCAACCGAGCTTCCTCTACATTTTTCGATTTAGAATATCCAGTGTCAAAATTATCCTGAAATAGTTGAAATTTAACCATTCCCAATAAGAAAAAAAGGGCAAACAGTAAAAAATTAAGATATCTGTGATCTGTATAAAAAAATCGGACACGACTAATCTTGGCAGTCACGAATTACTTAAATTATATCGAGACACAAAATAAAATAACTGGATTTAGTCACCTGAAATGCTCCTGGCGTGGAGTCCATAACGGAGAATGACGGCTTTGTTTTTTCTGTAAGATAGCAGCAAAGAATTCTAAGACGTCAAGACAATATAAACTCCAGTTCAAAAGGCAGCGCAGCAAGTCAAAATAAAACATGTGAGTAAACCAATCTCCCGACCCGCTTTCACTTGACAGAAGAAAGTGATATCAACAAACTGAACTCTCTAGTTCTTTAAGATACGTGATTAGAGGAAATTACAGATTGTTAGACACTACTAGGAAATTATAGGCTACTAGTTCTTACCAAGACTAAACCGTATAAGAACTAATTTCTGACTTACACTTTTTGTCAACCACACTTTTCATCAATCGACTAACATCTAATCTTTAAAAGTAGCTTAGTTCCTCCTCTTTTTTCCCTTTGAGTACTTAAAAGATGAAAACTTCACTAACGTACCTGAAAGAGATCGGAACTTGAAGCGTCCACTATCCTGCAAGAAAACTTATCAACAAAATATTCGTCTGAAGTTAAAGCATCGTAAAAAAGAAAAAAATTAGAAAAGAAGTCCTGAAAGCAGAACCACCGACATGCATCTTACCAATGCTGAGAAGAATCTTATACTTCGTCAATGCATTTTACTAAGATGCAAGCAAAATCAAACAATTTAGAAGCTTCGAACGAAGTTTAATAAACTGGTCAATACTGTACCAAAATATTAAGAACGTCCTTATCGTCTGTAGCCAAAATAGCTATCCGTTCATCCTCCCGTCCTCCTCCCAGTTTCTCGTAAAAAATTACAGACAAATCCTGATCACTAAGCCAACAATTTTTTCCACAAATAACGGAGTTATACGACACAGTTGGAGCAGACCCTTGAATAAGCACCATAAAATTATTTCAAATCAAAAAATATTTCTTTTTCGGCCGATTATAGAGAATTAGAGTATTAACGTATTCAGAACAGACTGTAAACCTGGAATCTCAATAATTTCCGAACTTTTCAATCGAGCATTTCTAACCAGAAAAAGGATTTCTGATTCAAACGTAGAAGTATTTTCGGCATCGAAATCGCTAACCTAGAAAGCAGTTGAACTGTAAATATTAGAAAAATTTCTCCAGAAAGGAACAATGTCACCTACATAAAATCTAACAAATTCCTAAAAAAATTAAAAGTATTCTGGAAACCTTTTTACTTAATGAATTTTAATGACACCTCGAAAAAGCTTAAGCTGTCCTTAGGTTTGCCACTTTTCCTACATGAAAACGAAACGACAGAGAGTGGATGTAGATTTCTTGCTTTAGCTTGCAATGCTTTGCTTTCACAACAAGTGTACAGCAGCCCAATCTTGTCACTCCATATCCAACAATAATTCTCGTGAACACCACACACAATTCCATAACCTAAAAATTAAATGCGGTGATGAGAAAAGTATAAAATAGCTTTCAAAGATAACAAAAAAAATCTGCACGTAATATTTCACCAAAACAGAAATGAAGTATACTGAAATACAATATAGGCCAAGTTTGAACATCTGAAACGTCTCTTATTGCAAAACAGCATTGAAACACAGCAAACTTTGGTACCTTTTAAAGTAAGAGAGGACTCTACCCTTTCGATTTTCAACAATGGTCGACTGTTCAATCGAAGTTTAGTCACAACAAACCTGTTATCCTAAACACTTCTTACACAGCACTGAAGCAAACTAAATATTTATTACCTAAATTCCTCGAAAATTACAACTAAACATAATGAAATACCTGAAGTTGCGCAGTGCATGAACACCACTTCCCTTCCGTTACTTCTGTAGTTCTTGAATCAATCTTAGCATCCTCTGATACATCAACCTTACCATAAGTCACGCAGAAGACCGACCGTATAACGTTGTCACAGTCATATATTACGGCATCAAACCTTCTTCTTTCCATGACAAGTCATTCAAATCGAAACATTTACAAATTTCAGAAATTAGTCGATACAGCGAAGGAAACCACTAATACGGAACTATTTTATTAAAAATTTCAAATCAAATTACTGACGTGAAAACTTGCCAAAAAATATGCTTAACAGTATTGTTCACGATAAACATGCTTCTTTTCGCTCTTATTTGCATGTCCTAAATGTTCTCTTCTAAAGGACCTGAACATATGCGCTTCAACCGACACCCTCACTAGGAAAATCACAACTGATACTTTGTACTCATAACTGACAGCACCGTAATTCCAATCAACAAGAGTCGAAACCTCTGTAACCCTCAACCAAATAAAATCAAATGGCACAGGAACCAGATTTCCAGTTGCAACTCCGTTTTGATAACCTCAATAGCTAACAGTTGAAATGTCCAACTGTAAAAACTTTGCCTGTCGATTATATCGATTTTATTCAAAGAGAAACACGACAAAGAAAATAACTGTAAGATCTTGACACCATGACGTATGATAAGACTGCTCTGACAGGTTTCAATCACCAACCGCACCAGTAATTTTTACCAACGTCTACCTCAAAAACTAATACAAATAAAAAAATTCTAGACCCGTGTAAACATCTCCCTAAATTATTCCTTACAAAGTAACTTTTGCAGCGCACCGCAGATTCAGTTTTATAAAACTTAATCCTAAAAATACTCAAAATCAGAATCTGGCTTTGTGAAACAAAGATGCACTCAAGACGTAAAGCAGTAAAGCCGCAGCGAAATCTGAACCGCACTGGCTGCATTATTTTTGAATTGCCATAAATACAATCATTCTGGTAGACACTGGAAGAGCTGAAGCGCCAGAAAGCTATGATAATGTGCTGGTGAATCACGCACACCACGTACCGCTGAAAACAGCTAGTGATTGATGTTTGTCAATCTTCCTTTCGGACGTGCAGATTCTTCAGACTATTCGCAAGCCCGCCTGAATCCATCTCTTCTGTAGCCTATGCTATTTCGTCGTTCCACTCCACTGCTGCTTCTCTTCAATTCACTACGTAATGACATACGGATAGGACACTGTTGACAACGGTTTGTTATCAATTTCATCAGCTGATATGATGGAAAACATCCCTGTTTTTGTACTTTTCCACAGTTCTTCTGCTAGGTCCGTCACTCTGTATTTGTTTAAAACCCCCACATAAGAATCCCAGTGCAGCAAGCAAACTTTACTTCCAAAAAGTTCATTCTGCTAAGGGATTTTCGTATCAAATGTGTCATAAAGTCGAGCTCTTGACTCCCCTTTAACACCGCACCTTTCTCAAAACTTTCCGAGTGAACTTCAATAATGATACTTTACTGACGATTCATGTAAAAAAAAAAAAAAAAAAAAAAAAAA